AAGTCGGTCGCTTAACCGACTGCGCCACCCAGGCGCCCCACAGATGTCATTTTTAGAAATGTTAAGTCATGTTAGAACATATTACAAGGACTGGGATGAGGCCCAGAAAACTATAAACTATTGATACACTAAGGTGTAAGGGAAGTCAATTTTGTTCTTGTTTCTAATATTTTGTGATGATTCACTCTGCAATTTGATTTCTGTTAATGTTGATATGAGACCCATAACAAGCAAGCAAGTGATAAAGAGCTATAAAAAAAATACTCTCAAACCACAGCAAACTCAGCACCTGATTTTCTAGCTACAGTCCAGCTCTCCATAGACCGTTCCCTGCCACCCACACTCACCTCAGCCAGCTTGTTGAAGCCCTGTGAGTGGCCTTCCTGCCGCTCTACTTGGCACTTCTTGGCGTAGCGACGGTTTCCATCCATTATAAAGGCAACGTGTTTGGGCACTGGGCCTGCCTGGGAAGTGAGAAGACAAATGATCGGCACAGAGAGCCACGAAACCCCAAGCTGATAGGCTTGAGTTCTATGATAAAAGCCCCCTGAGGAAGGGAACTGGGTATTCTGTGCTTTGGCTCAATAAATGGGTATTAAGCACTTTTTACTTATGTATGTATTTATTTATATGGAGCACTTACTATACGCCAAGTACTATGCTAGGCTTTTTATACTTCATCTAAGTTTTTTTTTTTTTTTCATATAAACCTATAAAGTAAATAGCAGTGTCTTCATTTCTTTTTTTTTTTTTTTTAATTTTTTTTTTTTCAACGTTTTTATTTATTTATGGGACAGACAGAGACAGAGCATGAACGGGGGAGGGGCAGAGAGAGAGGGAGACACAGAATCGGAAACAGGCTCCAGGCTCCGAGCCATCAGCCCAGAGCCTGACGCGGGGCTCGAACTCACAGACCGCGAGATCGCGACCTGGCTGAAGTCGGACGCTTAACCGACTGCGCCACCCAGGCGCCCCAGCAGTGTCTTCATTTCACAGGTGGGAAAAAAAAGTCTCAGAGAGGTCAAGTGACTTCCACAAGTCACACAGCTAAGAAAAGGCAAAGTGGGAATTCACATTGAGGTCTGTATGCTTTTAGAACTCATTTTTAACCACATGCTCCTGACCACCACTTTGGTTTCGTGTCTCCACCTGGCAGGCACAGGAACGATATTGATGGCTGTGCAAGGGTATCCTCCACAGAAAAGAGGAATCCACTCGATCCAATCGCTGCCACACAGGAATGGGGGCCCGACGTCACTGATCTTCCAATTACATAAGAGAAGCCAAGCATCAGGACTTGTATCAAAATGTAAATGTCAGGAGCCATTTCAAAGCAAACAAAAAAGACATTTTGGGGGCCAACAAAACTTCTCATCTGGCGTATAGCAGCCTTTAGTTGTCTATCACAGCAAAAATTCACTCCTTAGCCTAATTCCACTGGCCTTAGGGCCTCTTCACTGACTGCTTCCTTTGCACCTCTCCAACAGTTTTGACTTTTGTCCTCAAGTTGTAGAATAAAAAATAAAAAAAATAAAAATTTCCAGCCAAATCATGTAGTTTGTTCTTCCCAACACATGACTGCAGTAGTTCCCCAAAAAGATACTTTCTACTTGCTTGCCTGCTTGAGATCATTTGGCATATGTGTGTGAGTGTGTATGTGGGGGGGAGGGGAGTGGGGGGAGGTTAGTATAAGGCTTTGCTGACTCCTAAATTCACTGCTACCCACTGCTTGACAGTCTGTGGTTGAAAGACAAAAATCAGGCTGGCTGGCTTAAATCTCAAACCTGTTATATGGACAAAATATAAATTGTTGCGATTCCTAGAGAAGAAGCAGAGGCAAGATTTGGGGAAGTAAGGGGGTGTAGAAACTGGAATGATCATAGTCCTCAAATGGCTGAAAACAGCCCCAGTAATAGCAGTAATTAAGAACTGCT